AGCTAGATAATACGATCTCTCATTTCTGAGTTTCTATGACTGGTGATTCTGAGTCATAAGGTTGCATTTGACAGTAGCAAAAGACCCAGGAAACAACAAGCAAAGGCCACATAGGATGTGTCAGCCCGGGCCAGACAATCTTATTTGGGCAAGAAAATAGAGCCAGGCACGGACATGCACTCCAAAAAAAGTGTTCCACCAGCTACTCAAACCTGAGCAGAATCAAACAGTCCAGTCCTCAGAGGGTCAGGACAAGGTCCTCAAGGCTCCCTGAGTCACTGAAAGATAATGCCCACACCCCATTAGTTATAAAACACAAATTGTAGCTTTGTTTCCAACAGAAAGAGAGTCCCGTTCAATTACTGATTTACTGCTCATAACTGAACTGAGTTCTACTACTTGGTCATGAAAAACAGTATCATGTTAAAAAGACCACCTCATCCCCAGTAACCTTGCAGGCCAGGGACTGAGCTGATTTCGTTGGTGCAGCTCAGCCCCTTGTACGTGTCTGGGGCTGTGTCAGGCACACGTATGCTAATTTCTCATCTACCTGTGGATGCAGACTTGGGCGGACACCTCTAAGCAAATTCTTTCCAGACGTTATCAGAGATCCCAAGTAAAAGAGCTCCCTGGCCCCTCAGCCTCTGAGACCCAGTTGCCTAGCAGTGGAAGTGGGGGCCTGTTCCATTCTCTGAGAATGGACAGTGTGCTTTTTGATGAATTCTGTTTTCAAGTGGAGACCCACGTTCTAGATCTCAGTTCTGGACCAGTCTCACCAGGAGCGCCCAGGGTGCTCATTAAAAAGAGTGATGCTGGGCTTCCCTGGTGGCGCAGTGGTTGAGAGTCCGCCTGCTGATGCAGGGGACACGGGTTCATGCCCCAGTCTGGGAGGATCCCACATGCCACGGAGCGGCTGGGCCCATGAGCCATGGCCGCTGATCCTGTGCGTCTGGAGCCTGTGCTCCACAACGGGAGAGGCCACAACAGTGAGAGGCCCTCGTACAGCAAAAAAAAAAAAAAAAAAAGACTGATGCTGGGGACCCACCCTAGACCCTATCTGTGGGTTGGGACCTAAGGCTTGGCATTTGAACAAGCTCTTAGGGTGGTTCTTAGCCGCCCTGTTGTGTCAAAACCACAGCTCCAGTTCCTAAAATGCCTTCTTAAGAGTTATCCTTGCTACTCCTGACCAATTCCACTGCCGGCAAACAGAAACAGCCCACCACTCTGGTCAGGTGCACTCTTTAAAGTGGATTAAGCCTTCGAAAACAATTTAAATCTCTTCCTTCTGAATTCCCGGAATATTGTGTTTTAAAATGTCATTTTAAGTAATAAAAACATCACTGGAATCCAGGCATTCAGAGAATTTGAGCAAAAGATAATCTACTCTCTTATCAGAAAAAAAATCCTGGGAGGTGACAGGCACAGGTGGCTGTCATGAATCATGTGCTTATTTGTCACTTGGAGGCGAGGAGGGCATAGAGACAGCAGCCAGCTGCCCAACGTCTCACGATGACAACATAGGGGAACGTTGATCTCAACTCCTGCAGCCACTCCCGGCACCGCTACCATTAGTGACCTGCTGGGCTTCCTCTTGTTCAAAAACTTTTGTTCCAATCAAGTTTCTTCCTTGGGTTATGCATCTTCTCTGAGCCCCTACTAGATGGTTTGCACAAAGCAGAAAGAACTCTGAAATGGAGAGCCTGGAAAAAACCCTCGACTTTCAGACTCTCCACTCATTTTCAAATTCTTTTTTTTCCTAGAGGAATTTGGCACAGGCCCAGCCATCCAAGGGGGGCTCACAAAAGCAGGAACTGAAATCAAGCCACAGGAAGTCCCTTGCAGAATAAAGAGAGAGCACGATTGTCCATACCTGCTCCGAGTTTAGGGCTTCCCAATAGTTCTGCTGCAGAATAAAAAGAGAGATTAAAAAAAAAGTGTTGACTGGGTTTTGCCACCATCACAGAGCAGAGATCAGCGCCAGCCCCTGTCTGCTCAGTGAGCCAGGAGAAAGGCCCTCCGCTGGTCCGGAGGCAAAGGAACAACTGACTTCAGCAAGCAAAAAGGCAGCAGCTACGAGTGGCTACAACTTAGTTAAATGGTCAGTAGGATAATTGTGATAATTATGAAGGGCTACAGGTCCTTGAAAAAATTATCATCTATGCAGATTTAAAAATTACTATTAGAAATTATTATTAGGCATAATCATAAAGATTCCATTTATTAACCACATGGCTGAGATGAGTCAACACAAACCCATGAAACTAAGAAAGAGAGATGCAAATAAAACCCTCATCTTGAAACTATGGGGTATTTGCTACCAGCCAAGATTCATATTTAATCAGCCTTTACCGCACGGTTGGTTCCACCCCAAGCCTCAAATATGTCTGGCTCAGCTTCTTGAAGGGTAGTGTCGCTGTCTGCTCTCATTCGTCCAGCACCTCCTGTAGTGCCCAGGACACGAGTGTGTGTGTGTGTGTGTGTGTGTGTGTGTGTGTGTGTGTGTGTGTGTGTATTCATAAGCTATGAATCTGCAAATGTCTGTTATACTGATCTGCTGCCAATCTGCCCAGTACACAGGATTTGGCTTTATTGTCACATTGAAACAAAGCCCCTACTGTTCAATTCTTTTAAAATTTCCATTTTGAACAACTTCTGTTTGTTTGCTTTTGTTTGGTTTCTCTGAGCTCCTTGAGGGCTGCAGTTTGACTCAACTTTGAGTCTTCAGGACTGGCAGGGCTGGTGGAATGCACTCAGTCAAGTCTGTTACGTGAATCTGTACGTGCGTGCGTGTGTGCAGCTGTGTATCTGTTAGGATTATAAAAACTTTATTCAACACCTCTATTTGTCCACTGATAACTGCTAGCCCAGAGATGGGGCTCTGCTCTGGGGCCTGCACAAGTCCCATTCTGGGTCAGAGCTGGAGGTAGGGGTGGAGTCAGGCAGAGAGGTCTGACCCAGGCTGTGCTGGCAGAGCTCTGCCCCAAGCTCAGTGGCAGGGCACCTGGCAGACTGGAGGCGAAGGGCAGAGGTTCCACCTTGAAACTGAGGAGGGCAGGGAAGGGGCACCAAAGCTGGGTCCTTGGTCAGTGCCCCCCACAAGAATGCCCTGCCCCCTGCTGGGTAGGATGAGGTGGCCACTGCAGGAAGGAGGGCAGGATATGGGGATGTGGGTGGCAGAAATGAAGCTTGAGAGTCGTCTCCCCAGTTTCTCCCTCTTCCCTCCCTCTCCCACCCACCCCTTCCAGGTCACATGCTTCCAGCCTGGTACCTATGAACTACTTCCCCCCGTTCCATGGGAGGGCAGAATGGACCTAGAAAACTTGAGTCACCACTGACTTCAGCTGTACCACGCCTTTTTCTTTTGAACAACTTTTTAATTATAAGATTTTCAGTCATACACAAAAGCTAAATCTAATGAACACCTGTGGACATATCCTCTTTCATTTGCTCTAGCTCCCCCAATTTTTTATTTGCTGAAGTATTTTAAAGTAAATAATTTCATCTGTAAATATTTCAGTATGTATCTCATAGATAAGGACTTAAAAACTCCTAAGCACAGGACTTCCCTGGTGGTGCAGTGGTTGAGAGTCCGCCTGCCGATGCAGGGGACGTGGGTTCGTGCCCCGATCCGCGAAGATTCCACATGCCGTGGAGCGGCTGGGCCCGTGAGCCATGGCCACTAAGCTCTGCGCGTCCGGAGCCTGTGCTCCGCGGCGGGGGTGAGGTGGGGCCACAACGGTGAGAGGCCCGCAAAAAAAAAAAGCTCCTAAGCACAATGCCATTAATACCTAACAAAACGGTGATAATTCCACAGCATTCATCTTTTTTTTTTTTTTTTTTTTTTTTTGATTTATGTGGGCCTCTCACTGTCGTGGCCTCTCTCGTTGCGGAGCAGAGGCTCCGGATGTGCTGGCTCAGCGGCCATGGCTTATGGGCCTAGCCGCTCTGCGGCATGTGGGATCTTCCCGGACCGGGGCACGAACCTGTGTCCCCTGCATCGGCAGGTGGACTCTCAACCACTGCGCCACCAGGGAAGCCCGCATTCATCTTTTAATGACATCCTGCTGGGGAAAACATAAACTAAAAAAAAAAAAGATTAAATGGAGAACACACAAAATTACGAAAAATGATGTTTCCACACACACTGCAAAAGACAGAAATGTTGATGACAACACAGGTGGAAAAAGTTACATAACTTCTGCAAATGTAATAGAAATAAAAAGAGAGATGAAAGAAAATATGCTAAGAATAAGAACATTAATAGAAAAACTGGTGAAACCCAAATAAAGTCTGTACTTTAGTTAATAGTAATGTACTAATGTAAATTTCTCTGTGTTGACAAATGCAGCATGGTGGTGCAAGATGTTAACATTAGAGGGAATTGGGTGAAGGTATACAGGAACTCTCTGTCCTACCTTTGCAACTTTTCTGTAAATCTAAAATTACTCCAAAAGAAAAAGTGTATTTAAAGACAAGCAAACAAATAAAAAAGTTTAAGAGTCCTCCAACTGAATTTGAAATGAAACCTTGAAACCTCCTTTTCAAAATCTTCAGCATCACAAGCAATCTAAAACTTCAGAAGAGTACCCTCTAGTGGAAGTAGTAGCCAGGATTTCTTTTTTAAGTCACTTTCTAAACTAATGATAATGTGCCTAGGGAATACAATTAACTCAAATCTTTGTAACTGAGGTCTCTCTCCACCCCCCACAAAGAAGTAAAAATAAATAAACATTTGTGTAGTCTTCCCTGTTTCAAGAGCAAAATTTGTTCATTTTTGTATAGAAATTTTTTCAAAACCCAAAATAAAGATTGCCCAGGGCTTCCCTGGTGGTGCAGTGGTTGAGAGTCCGCCTGTCAATGCAGGGGACGCGGGTTCGTGCCCCAGTCCGGGAAGATCCCACATGCCGCGGAGCGGCTGGGCCCGTGAGCCATGGCCACTGAGCCTGCGCGTCCGGAGCCTGTGCTCCGCAACGGGAGAGGCCACAACAGTGAGAGGCCCGCGTATCGCAAAAAAAAAAAAAAAAAAAAAAAAAGATTGCCCAGAATTCTATCCCTAAAAGAGGGCCTCTATGAACAGTTATTGAATAGCCCTCTGAAATACAAACACACACACACACACACACACACACACCCCAAATTATGCAAATGGCTTTTCTCTCTTAAAATATAGTGAGCATTTCCACATATCCTTGAATTGTCTTTAGGATCACAATTCCATCATCTCCGTGAACCACAGCATGTAGGGTTTCAATTCACCTCATTTCTAAAAGAACACTTTTTCGTGCTTCTGAAACCAAGAAGCAACCTATAGGCGCTGTCCACAGGGCATGTGGTAAGCTCTCCTCTGTTCCTGAAGACTCTGAGGTGTGTCTCAGCCACTGAAGAAACAAGGTCACTTTCTAGGACTGGGAGCTGGATGGGCCCTCAGAGACCATTTGTTCAACTCCCTCCTCTTACATCTGGGGAGAAGTGACTTCCCCAAGATGGGGGAGGTGAAATGGTGTTGGACTCAGGACCCATTATAAAGGTTTTTTGTTTTTTCTGATCATAAAGTTTTGAGACTGGCCAGATACACGCCAGCTACGGTTCCGTCTTAGATTTCATCAAGTAGATTTCCTTTTTGATTTTCCTAGTACCTTATAGGCTTTTAAACCTTAACACCATACGCTTCAAAAATCTCATTCTTTCAATTTCTTTAGTTAGTTAATTAAGCAGTTCTATAGCACTTACTCCGGATCAAGCACTGTCTCACCTCCCATACTTTCTTTCCTCCTCTCTACCAGCCCAAACTCCCCACTCAGCTCTTCCTTCCTGGGCTGTCGTGAGGAAAATGGGATGTGAGGAAAAATGGATCACAGGCCGTGGAGTGCTGTATGCAAAGCCCATGGTGAACTGGATCAGTAAGAGAGAAGTTCTGACCCACACTGGGCCGTTTTCCCTTATAAAGATGACAGTTTCACTGCAGGGACATCCCAAGGTTGGGATGAAGGGGAAGCCGAGATGAAGGCCTATGTATTACAACGGTGGGCAGCAAGGGTTGGGAGCGAGCACCTCTGAACTCCACTGACAAGGAGATGCAAATACTGTATTTAGGCCAAACTCCAAGACCACCAGTGGGAAAGGCCTTGGCAACCCTGGCTCCTGTTCCTGATTTTTTTAAAATTTTTTTTTCCCCATTAAAACAGGAGATATAATTGACATAAAACATTGTATGTTCCTGATTTTTTTGGAAGAAGTTTTGCTATTCATATGCTGCTCAGAACCTAAGAAGTGGCCCAGGGAAGGGCGGGAAATGGCCATGATCAAGTTGGATTCAGGAGCAGGGCTGCTGCAGATAAAACACAGGATACACCGTGAAATGTGAATTTCAGATAACAAATAATGTTTTAGTATAGGTGTGTTTATCTGAAATTCAAATTCACTGGCCTCTTGTATTTTTTGCCTGTTAAATCTAGCAACCCTACTCAGGAACACAGGGAAGGCTTCCCAGAGGAAGCAGGATTTAGCCAGGGCCTTGAAGGGCAGAAGACAGATGAGCAAAGGAACCCAGAGAAGGGAAAGCTGGCTGGATGTGCAGAGGAAAACCTGGAGAGTTAGCCCTGAACCAGACAGCGAAATGTCTTAGAGGTCAGGCTAAGGGGTCTGGACATAAACTGTAAGCAGTAAGGAGCCACAGAGGGCCTTAGAGCAGCAAGGCCATGGGGCTGATGGAGTGTTGGGAAGAACTTGGGTAGGACAGCACTGAAAGGAGGAGGGACGGAGGCAGGAGCTCAGTCAGGAGCTCTTCCCTGGATTTCAGGCAGCGTGATGGAAATGCTTCTAGAGACTGCGGAGGCCAGAAGAGGTTTTCTGAGTGGCACCCAGGCAGACACAGCAGCCCATTTTGCTGGTGGTTGGCCCCGCTGTTTTCCTGATGGAAGCCTTTCCACTTCTAAGAACTGACTCAGTGTAATTAACCTCTGCCTAACTCCCCCAGTACACTTGCCCACTTAAGGTCACTTGCTAAATGGGACCTGAAAGATGGCCCAGTTCAAAGCTCATCATCCGCGGGAACAGTGCTCTGTCAGAGCCTCACCAGCTCCCTGAGTTCATTATCTCCACTCACTGAGCAAGTCCAGAGAAATGAACGGCGTCACCTGGTTCAAAGGCTCTCAGGGCCAGCATAGGTGTCTGAGCCCGCTTGCAGCCCGTTGTCCACTGCACTGCATCTAGCACCATCGGCAGGCTTGCAGGGCCCCAGCAGCACCCCCATTTGATCCTCAGAATCACTCCGTAATGTAAGTAGGGCAGGTCTCCTGATTCCCACTTACAGAGGGAGAAACTAAAACCCAAGAAGTCCAGGGCAGAACGAAGGCCGCCTGGCAGGTCAGCGAGAGCCTGGACAAGCCAGTGTCCACCCGACCCCTGGTCAGCCCTCTCTCTCCTGCTCAGCCCCGTTGCCCTGGGGGGGCCCAGTACAGTCTTTCCTTACCCCCAGGGGAACTAGCTGACTGTCCACACATTTCCGGACGCACCATCTCTCACTGCTGCCGAGCACATAGGGGCACACAGATCTGTGCAGGGCAGATACCATGCCCTGAACTTAATTTCTGGTCTTTGGGACCTATTAGAAATTTCTGGCGTCTTTCTTCATACTTATATGTATTTACTTCTAAAATTAGCACTTTTAGAGTCAGTGTGTGGGTGTGTATTCCTTTTATTAACTAATTAATTGTTTTTTCCTTGAAAGAATGATTTGGCTTCAAGAATGACAAGCATCCAAGGGACTGTGTCCTGGTCTGCTGGTGCTGGAAGCAGGGTCTGGAGAGGGAACAAGCAGTCCTGGCTGTCAAGAGCCTTAGGCACAGAATTAGCAGGACACAGGGGCCTGGGACGCGAGCCTCTTCAGACAGCAATCTGGTGTGTGGTGTTTGGCTCTATGCGCGCGCGCGCGCAAACACACACACACACACACACACACACACACACACGCACACACACGCTGAGCCAGCTCCAGGTACAGTCATTCTCAACATGCAGACTTTCTTCTGTTGACAGAAACAGCCTCCTTGCAGAATTCCTACAAAGCTTCAATGGCATTGCTAGGAAGCACAGAAGGAAAAAAATGACTAAACACAAAGCTGGACTCAATCTTTTCTTGCATCCCAGAGGCTAGGAGGAAAAAAACCTTTAAAAGGCACAGGAGCAGTCTCAACACTGAGGGAATGTCGACCCTGCACTCATAAAACAGGTGCTGGCTGCCCCGGCAAGTGAGCGGGCCACTCCGGAAAGCCCTGCTCCCTCTGGGCCCTGGTCCCTCACCCACAGACCATGAGCCAGTGACCCTTCCTCCACATGTGTTCAGAACGCCCTCCGACGGCTGTGTCAGGAGACAGGCTGCCTGGTGTCGAGTAGCTGAGTGAGTAGGTGCACAGTCTCCGTGGAGTGTGCCCTGTCTTGTGGAGACGTCCAGAAATCCGCACAGCCCGCACAAATGGCCTGTCTACAGGGTTATGAGTCACATTCAGGCTCCACTGCCATTAGTCTGGTGCCCTGACCAGCCCATCCAGCGGACACTTGAGAAAAGGTGAAAATGACCCAGTTCTCCCTCCACGCAAGCTCCCATGCCTTATCTGTCTCTACTTCACCTCTTTTCATGGGTGTTCTGCATCACTGGAATTCCTTGTAAATCCCAATGTTTTATCTTGCCTATTAGACAGGACCCTGCCTGAGAACACAGGTAGCGCATAGGTAAGTGGAGACAGTCCTGTGGAGAGAGTTTTCTCATCTGTAAAATGGGAATGATAGATAAGAAACTCGGCCCTGGGTAGTTACTGCTGAGGCAGTGGGGTGTAGTGGGTAACAACAGGGTTTCAGAGCCACACAGAGCTGTGTTCAAAACCCCAGGTCTGCCAATTATAACGATGACGATGATGACGATGATGATGTTTTCTTGGGCAGGTTACTAAAACTCAATGAATCCCAGCCTCCTCTTCTGGGAAACAAGAATATTTAAAGGTACTTGCCTCAGGGCTGTTAGGAGGACTATATCAAACAGTGCTTGTAAAGTATAGAACATACCACGCCTGCCTCATGACACACACGCAGTCACTGTGAGCAATGAATTTAAAAACGCGTAGTGAGCTGCATGCCGTGAATACAGTGTATGTCGTGTGGAGGGACCTCTCTTCTCTCCACCTCCCCCAGCACGGCAGGAGGTAGGTCTTCAAACCTGTGGGCATGTGCCCCAAGGACATGGACACAAAAGCACCCTCTGAGGGTTAAGTCACAAAGTCAGAAAGGACCACAGAGTGACAAACACAACACCTTAGCGACAAAGAGTGCCCCCAGGCCTCCAGAGTGGGGGGCACAAGCGTTCACCTATGGACCCGCGGGTCAAGCAGGAGCCCAGCTGGCTGGCAAAAGACACAGACGACTGTAGCCAGAGAGTACAAACAGATGCCCTGGGTGTCTCAGCCCAGTGTTAGGAAATATCTGAACTGTGCAATCCATCTCGGGAGCAAGAGAAGTCGCAAACCAGAAGAGGTGATGACCTGGGGCCCGGCTTCAGTCCCTTGGGGGTGTGGTCTGGAGGAGCAAAGTCATGAGCAGACTGTGACCAACCTACCAAGTACCTCCCACCGCGTGTGGTGGGTCAGGCCAGCCCCCCTGCCCTCATGCATTTTTCTTTCAAATGCCCCCCAAGAACATGTTTGCTAAGTGAGTGACCCAAACAGGTGTGACCCAAGCAGTGTCACACTCATCGGCTAAAAGACACCCTCTTCCTCCCCTTCAGCCATCAGGGAGCCAGAACTTTTAAGGAATATTGCTCTGAAAAACTGGGGAGCCCACCCAATCAATCCCACCGCCCTGAAGCAGCTGCTGGTTGATGGGCTTGTGGCTTAACTTTCATTTTCTTCTTTACATCTTCCAACATTTCTACAATAAAGATGTATTACTTTTAAGAGAGAATATATAGATTATAGAGAGAATATAGAGAGAGAATATATAGATTACCAGAAGGCCGGATGGGCCACTAGCCTGACAAGCTACACTGTCCCCTGTTCACATTTCCTCAGTGCCCGTGTTTAGTGAGATTCTAAGTAACTTCCGATAGGGACTCGGCGCTTTGTCATGTGTAGCGTGTGGGTGTTTTGGGGAATGAAGTAGGAGGCTGTGCTGGGGGTTCTGGAGGGGGTGGGTGGGGTAGATGGGGGCACCTGGGCTTCTAAAAATATACCCCTTGTTTAGCAAGGGCAAAAGCATTCATCTCCATTTGCCTCATGTATGAGCGCGACCCTGTGCCCTTGGAATTTAAAAGGAAAGAGCGAATAGAGGAGAGGGAGAAAAAGGACTGCAAAACACAGAAACTGCCCAAAACAGCCACAGAGACAAATTTCTGAATTGTTCAAGGTCACTGTCCAATCCTTAGCTCAGTTGAGGGTTCCCACAGAGTGAGCTTGCTTCCCACCCTCCCCAAGCCCCCTCCCCCCATCTCACCAACTCAACTGTCCCTTCCCCTCACTGAACACACTCTCCCTCTCTCCCCTTAGCCTTAGACTCTGCCCGGACTGCTGGCTCCGGGCTGCCAAGACATGCGCCTTGGGTTGTCCGACACATTCTGAGACCAGATCCAAGAAATAAACGGCACCAAATGAAGGACTCGGGGATACACGGAGCCCAAATGGTCCTTGGTCTGGAGCAGAATTTCTCCCTCAAAACCCACCTCTCAATGACCAGCTGTGTGTGTTCCAGGATCAAGAGATAAAGATGAGGGCAGCCCAGGCCCCTAGACCTAAAAGCCTGTGCACAGCCTGGCCGGGGAGACAGGTCCCTGCAGCCCTCAGGCTACACGGCAAACAACACCAGGGATGCAAGAGAGGTGTATGCTCTGAGCACCCAAGGGAAGGAGGCTTTAATCTCTGGAGTGTACGTGGAGGGGAGGGGAGTTCACACAGCAGGTGGCATCTGGGTAGGATTCTGACACACGGCAGTTGGGCCAGAGGAAATCCCAGGAAGAAAGGCCCAGAGCCCTGGGGATGAGGGAAGAGTCCACGGCCAAGGAGGACATGTAGGTGAGGGCAGGGGAGGGGCACGAGGCTGGGGCAGGTGTGCAAGGCCTGAACCCCACACTAAGGGATCTGGACTCTACCCCGCAGATCAGGGGCTCTAAGTCTTTCGGATTTCAGGGTCCACTACGAGTTGAACGAATCTGGGGGACTGACTCAGGACACATGATTGATTACTTTGCCAAATAAGGCCATTAAGACCAACACCACACCCTCAACACCAACTTAGCACTTCCTGTTATCGTCAATTCATAAAAGGGCATTTAAATATCAAAAGAGTGGGAGACCCCAGCAAACCCAGAATGAAGGACGGTCCCTCCCCCTGCTGGTACCTCCTGTCCACTATGCTGTCCTTGTTCTCACTTGCCACAGACAAAGGGAAACTTCCTCCTGACCAGGGCTGGGAGCCACAGCTGTGGGGCTGAGAGTGACAGGACCGTAGACCTGAGAGACCCATTTCCGGTATCCAAAATGTGATGTGTTTTGTTCAAAGATCCAAAAATTCAAAATGAGGCAAAGCTTATGAAAGTGCCAGGCACAATGCCCATTGAGGGCCCCTGTGTGTGACCCTGACAGCACCACAGGGAACAGCCTGGCGCTCCTTGCGGGGGAAGAAAGCCTTCCATGGTCAAATGGGTTTGGGAAACACCAAGACTCTTTAAAAAGTTTGTTAGGGGCTTCCCTGGTGGCGCAGTGGTTGAGGGTCCGCCTGCCGATGCAGGGGACGCGGGTTCGTGCCCCGGTCCGGGAAGATCCCACATGCCACGGAGCGGCTGGGCCGTGAGCCATGGCCGCTGAGCCTGCGCGTCCGGAGCCTGTGCTCCGCAACGGGAGAGGCCACAACAGTGAGAGGCCCGCGTACCACAAAAAAAAAAAAAAGTTTGTTAGTCAGCATTTATTTCTGCAAGACTTGAATGTGCCCCATGATTCAGCGTGCAGTGTTTCCATGACTCACTTGACTGCGGAAAGTCCTCCTCAGCGCGGACAGCGTGGGAAAGTTCTCGCGCAGATGCTTATTCACTACTGAGTGGGCATGAGGCTGGCGTGGGCCGAGGAGAACAGAGCAGTGCAGGCACCTCAGAGGCACCAGCAAGCACGCGTGAAGGAGGCCCCGTGCACCTGCCGGCGGACACAGCACCTACCTCGAGGTCGGAGTTGATGGAGGAGACCTGGGAGGAGCTACTGGAGGACACGCACGCCCGGATGACCTGAACCGGAGGGTACGAGGGGGGCTCCTGCAGGGACGTGGCTCCCGTGCTTGTCTGTCCATCTCCAGGCAGCCTGGTGGCACTGCAGCTCGCCTGCAAGGTGTGCGGGGAAGGGCAGGCAGGAGACTTGGTTGGCATCTTTGTTTCTCGCACTGTCAGAGCATCCACGTGCTTCAGCATTCAAAAGGCACGAAAGGACGCAGCCGCCTCCACCCTCCTCCTGCGGCCACTCAGCTCCTCCTCAGAGGCAGCCGGCCCTCCTTTGTGTGTCCTTCCTAATAGTCTGTGCACACGCGAGCAAATGCATGTACACGTTTCCCCCATTTCCACTAACGGTAGTACACTCCATACTCTCTTATGCATCTTGCTTTATTTCACTTAACAACATGCCTTAGAAGTAGTTTCATAGCAGTTTTTTTTGGTAGCATTGTACAGATGTTCACAAGCTATTTAAACCAGTCCCCTGCTAATGGATGTTTAGGATATCCCCAGTCTCTTGCTTTTACAATCAACCCTGGCTGCAGTAAATTATACCGTACGTTAAAAATTTCAGGATATAAAGGATGAATTCTTAGAAGTGGAATTGCTGGATCAGAGGGTATGAGCGCTTGTAATTTGGATAGCTCTTGCCAAAAGTGTGCTCCATAGAGGCTTAACCAACGCACCCGCCAGCAGCCTAAGAGAGTGAGCTGGGAAGGGTGAAGGGAGGAAGAAACTTGTGAGATTACCTGTCTGTCTGTCTGTCCATCTATCTCGGAAGACAGCTTCCTCCCACAGGCCTCACAGGGGTTTCCCCAGAGATCCTCAAAGCTCCCGGGCTGGGCTCGGAGCCGGGCAGTCATCCCACTGACACAGCACAGGGGGAATAACCCACCTTCTGGACCGTATCTTCCACCAACTAACCATATGACCTCGGCAAAAAACTTATCCTCCGGAGTCTCAGTTTCCTAATCTGTAGAAGGGGCTGGTAACCCCTGCCTTGCTTCCTCTGAACTGGTGTCACGGGCTCAGGTTTAGTAAACGTCCTGGACACACGAGAAGAACAGCTGCTCATACGGGTCCCCAAATCACGCAGGGCTCCAGCCCTGGATGGGTCAAGGGCACAGTTCCCTGTGAGAGTCGGCTGGAAGGGAGGAAAGTCCACAAAGGAGACAAAGACAGCTTTCTGGGGGGGAGGGGGGGGAGGCGGGGCAGCAGAGGCCTCCCAGGCCACAACAAAGGAAATAATCTATAAATTCCTCAGGTCTGACCACACCTGAGTCAACAGAGAAAATGGAGTTTTCAAATGCTGCCAGCTGTTGACTCCTAGGACCCCACACCCTCGGCCTCCTAGGCTCAGCCTGACCCCAGCTGCATCTCTTGGAAAATCTCTCCTTGACCAGCGCTCGGGAGGTGATGCTGGCAAGAGTGAGCACCACTCTGGCTCTTTTGCACACTTCCTGATGGTAGTTCAAACAGGACGTGTATCAAGGCACATGGCAACAGGGTACCGATATCACCACAACATGCCCATCGGGACAGTCTCATGAAAAAAAGAAAATAATTTGCTAATGCAGCAGGCATGAAATGGTGGCATGAAACGGCGGCATAAAAAGCATGTCCTCTGTATAAAAGCTCAGGTGCCAGAGTCAGACAGGATTAGTCTGAAACCTATTCCTGTGATTTTCTAACTATGGGATCTTGGGCAAGTGAGTTAATCCTCCCTGTGCCTCATTTTAAAAGAATAATAAGGGGGGCTTTTCTGGTGGAGCAGTGGTTAAGAATCCGCCTGCCAATGCAAGGGACATGGGTTCAAGCCCTGGTCCGGGAAGATCCCACATGCCGCGGAGCAACTAAGCCCATGCGCCACAACTACTGAGCCTGCGCTCTAAAGCCCGCGAGCCACAGCTACTGAGCCTGAGTGCCACAACTACTGAAGCCTGCACGCCTAGAGCCCGTGCTCCGCAACAGAGAAGCCACCGCAATGAGAATCCTGTGCACCTCAAGTAAAGAAAGCCCGTGGGCAGCAACGAAGACCCAACACAGCCAAAAATAAATAAATAAATATTAAAAAAAAAAGAAGAAGAAGAAGAAGAAGGGCTTCCCTGGTGGTACAGTGGTTGACAGTCCGCCTGCCGATGCAGGGGACACGGGTTCGTGCCCCGGTCCGGGAAGATCCCACATGCCGCGGAGCGGCTGGGCCCGTGAGCCATGGCCGCTGAGCCTGCGCGTCCGGAGCCTGTGCTCCGCAACGGGAGAGGTCACAACACTGAGAGGCCCGCATACCGCAAAAAAAAAAAAAAAAAAATAATAAAATGATTAAGTATTAATAAATGACAATAGAAATAATACTAGTATCTACCTCAGGTTGTTGTAAGACTCTGCGTTGCTAATAATTTTAAGAAACATTTATCAAGCGCTTACTCGGTGTCAGCCATCATGCCGAGTAAGAAGCAGCATAGCATTTTGGTCAAAGGCACAGACTCGGCAGAGACAGGTCTGAACCCTGGTTCTACCACCAACAAACCGTGTGACCTTGAGCAAGTTGCTTAACCTCTCTGGGCCCCATTTTCCTTCTCTGTAAAATGAGCATAATACCTCAAGGGTTGGCTGTTGGATTACCTGAGTTGATCTATGTAAAGCACTTAGACCAGTACTCCAAGCACTGTGACCAGTAAGTACAATAAGCATCATGGAAGGGTTGGCTGCTATTATTTACTCAGAGCCTGGCAAGTAGTTAGCCCTCAATAAACAGATCACCATGCAAATGATGACCCTAGAGCCCAGGGAGGCGGCTTCTGCCCAGGCTCCCTGCTGGGAGCTGTCTTGGCGGCAACTCTCGCCCTCTGGTGGACACAGAAGGAAGAGGCCGAATGGAAGTATTTGCTCAAAAATGTGTTGGCCGGCCTCAGTGGAGGAGAACGGAAGAGGAACACAGTCTTCTCTCAAGGAGTCTGCTCTCCAGTGGGCATCCACTCAAGATTCAGGTACTGGAAGGGTTCAAGTGAATGCAACTTTTGCACTATTATTTTTCACAAGTTCCACGATTTAAAAATTTCTAGTGCAAAGCGTTGGCCAGATGCTGCCAGGGCTCCCTGTGCTTTCCCCAGGGCTTCCCATCACCCAGCCACCCACCCACCCTCTGGACAGAAGAACAGCTTAATGGCCGAAGTGGACTCTTAATCGTGAAAGCTTGCTCCAAACCTCCCAGAACTTCACTTACATCACATACAGGTTATTTACACCCACTTTCCAAGGAACAACAGCAAAGAGTAAAACCGTTCTCCCAGGCACAAAGTCTGAGCGTCAGTACGTCCCAGGGGCAGCCCAGCGGGGCGGCTATCACTGCACTCTGGGTTCCAAACGCACCTGTACGGAGAGCCCGTGACCTGACGCAAACAAGACAGAAGGGTTTTGGCAAACAAGACAGAAGGAGACAAAGTTTATATCCCAGCAGGAAACAGAAAACAAACAAAAGTAAAAGATCACGATAAGTGCTTTGCAGAGCATTTTAAAAGGTAATAAAACAAACAGCAGAGGGGTGGAAGCAACTTTTCCACAGAATGAGTGGTGGGGGAAGGAGAAGGTGACATTTTTACTGAAATCGGAAAGACGAGAAAGAAGCATCCATGCAAAAAATCAGGAGGAAGAGCATGTAGGCAGAGGAACGGAGAGAAATTCTGTGCAGAGAGAAGTGAAGAGGGGAGAATAGGAGGCAGTGAGGGAGGGGGAAAGCGCGGGGCTGTGTCAGGAGATTAGATTTTATTCTGCGTGAAATGGGAAGCCAGAGGAGTGTTTTAAACCAAAGAGGAACAAGATGTCATTTACATTTGTAAGAGACCCTTCTGGTTACTGGTTGTAAATGGAGGGGGTGGGACAAGAATAGCAGTGAGAGGAAAACCAGTTAGGAGGCTCCTGGATCTACTTGTTTTTTTCTTTCTTTACTGAAGTATAGTTGATTTACAATATTGTGTTAGTTTCAGGTGTACAGAAAAGTGATTCATTTCTACATATTTATATGAATATACCTAGATTCTTTTTTTCCAATTCTTTTCTATTACAGCTTATTACAAGATACTGAATATAGTTCCCTGTGCTATACAGTAAAACCTTGTCGCTTACCTATTTTATATATGGTTGTGTGCATCTGTTAATCCCATAGTTCCAATTTATCCCTCCCCCTACCCTTCCACTTTGGTAACCGTAAGTTTGTCTTCTACGTCTGTGAGTCTGTTTCTGTTTTGTAAATAAGTTCATTTGTAATTTGGGGGGGTAATATTTTTTAGATTCCACATATAAGTGATATCATATGATATTTGTCTTTGTCTCACTTACTTCCCTCAGTATGATAATCTCTAGGTTGGATCTACTTTAAAAGAAGTATTTGCGAGACTCACAGACGGGTGATATGGGCACGGGCGTATAGTGAGGGAAAGAGAGGAATCTGAGTTTGACCCACTGCACGGACAGTGGTGTCGCTTACTGACATGAGGAAGATGGGGAGAGGAGCTGGTCTGGACATGGAAATCCAGAATTCTGTATTGGACACGGCACGTGTGAGATGCCACATGGGGACGATGAAGAGGGAGGATGAAGAGGTAGTGGGGCAGCCAAGACTGGAACTGAAGGAGAGGAAAAGGATGGAGACACAGGCCAGGGAAATCAGCCAGAGCTGGCAGGTAGGGCTATGGGACTGGAAGAGTGAACCCAGAGAAGGGAGCCCTCCTGAGGCGGAGCTGCGGTACTGCAACCTTGAAGTCCGCTCACCAGGAGGAGCCCGCAGAGGTGAGGGTGGCAGAAAAAACAGGACAGGGAGGGGCCCAGAAATCAGAAGAAGCAGGCGGCCAAACGAGTTGAACCTCAACTGGACAGAAATGACCCCGGGATTTAGCAACTGGGAGGTCGCTGTAGCCTCGACAGGAACGACTTAGTGGGGTGTGGGACATGGAGTGGGCTTCTTGTTGCCCCTTTCCCTCCAACCCTCTTCCTCCTGAAGGCCCCCCGTGCAGAACCCTGGGAGTCATCTGGAGCATGCGGTCCTCTTCACCACCACATCCTCACTGCCCCCACTGCTCTACCTGCCGACTCCACTGCAGCTCTGCTTCTCCATCGGCTGCAGCCTTGGTTCAGGCCACACCATGTCTTTCCTGGACTTACAACTGTCCCTCACTGACCCCCTTGCTTCTAGTCTCCACTCCCTAGTCTGCCCCCCAACAATGCCTGAGTGACGGCTCTAAAATGCACGTCTGACCCTGAGTCTCTAGTCCTGAAGCCTCCTGAACTCCCATCACCCTCTGCGATCTCACACTTACCCCGCCTCCACCCTTTCATCTCCGAGCTCCCCTTCATCTGACCACCACCGCCCGCCCCCCACCAAGGCCTCTGAGAGTTCCTTCCTCTTTTTACAGGCTTTCCTGCCTCATTCCGCCCCTCCTGCAGCTAAAGTGTCACTTCCTCCAGGAAGCCTTCCAGGACTACCTCCCACCCTTCTGTGGCCCACAGCCACTTACCTGCTGCACAGGCTCGATGGTCAGCTCCAGGTAGCGGCTGACAGCTGCCATCCTCTTGAGGGGCTTGCAGTAAGGAAGCGTGGTGAGAGGCACCCAGTCCGAATTCTTTCAAGAGGGGATGGGGAGACAGAAAGGGGGATTCTTAAAGTCAGGAGACCTTTTCTCAAAACAGCATCCCAGTTTCTTCAAAAGAACCCCTACAGTATTTTTTTCTGTTCTTTTATGGCACATCTCACTTTCTGCTTCCTGTGAGATGTATCTTATCTGCCTCTTTGAGGTCACAGTAGGTGGGTGGGTCCCAAACTTGGCTGCATCGTGGAATCACCTGGGCTTCTTAAAAAACCAAACAACTGAAGTTTAGCTCTCACCCCCCACCCCGCCCCACACCAGACATTCTGATTTAATTGGTGTGGATGTGACTTGCAGAGTTTAAAAGCCCCCCAGATAATTCTAAAGTACGGCAAAGTTTGGCAAAGTACCCACTGAAATGGGTGCTAAATAAGTGTTTTTGTAAAGCAGTGTGGTTCTTGAACTTTACTGCGTACCAGAAGCACCCAGAGGACTTATAAAAACACCCCGAGTTTTGGATTTGGTAGAGCTGGGTGGAGCCCTAAGATCTGCACTTCTAACAAGTTTCCAGGCAGTGCTGGTCCAGGGACCACACTTTGAGAACCACTGATGGAAAGACTGCTGAAGAGATTACAGAGGCTCCACTTCCTGTCTTCAAAATACTAAACACACAGGGCTCTCTTGAAATACCTTAGCTCCCCATTGGGATATAATTTTGTAACAGTTTCTAGAATGGAATGAAAATAACTTCCCACTAGAGCCTTCTTGGGAACTTGGATCTTTGGTCTAAGCACCTGTATCTCCCCTTTTACCTTGGTCATCCCCACACTATCTTCTACTTCATTAACTCAGTCAGATTACACTGTTAAATCTAGAAAATTCGGAGGAGGGGACCCGGTTCACTCACACGGAGCCTCATTTCTACTCCGAAAGAAATGAAGGTAGTGAGGAGTCCAGGTAGTAGGCGAGACTTTTTTTCCTCAAAAAATGATCTTAGAAAAGGGGGAGCTGCTGTATGTTCAACTCTTTACCAGCTCTCTTATTATTATGAGGCACTTTCTCAACTATTTGCAACAAGGACTTTTGACAAAGAAAAATTGCCTCAGTTAGCGTAGTTCTGCTTACTTAGAGGGGTCACCTGATTAAATCAGCAAAAGGCAGAGACAGACACATTCACTGGTATGACATCATTGTAAAGGGTGGAAGTTATTTGTAAGCAGCACTTTTAAAAATCAGCTTTTTAGTGATACCAACTTAAAACAAAAGCCGTGTTAGTATGTGGATGTCAGATGCATGCACAAGTGGGAACTTAAGTTTTTACGAAATGAGGGCAAAAAGCACATTACTTCTAAACTAACGTATTAATTTATATAGTATGTGAACTTAAATATATATATGTAAATTACCAAATAGCATAATAGCAAACTTAAAAAATATTTTGTACTTGGGAAAACAGAGGATCCTACTTATTCAGGGCACTCAGCATTGCGCGTAACAGTAGTTTTTTAAAGTGACCAACTGGCCAAGCTTGTGGGGACCCCCAGGATTCCCAGGCCCGGCCCCGGTGAGGCTCGCTGCCTCTGCCCATGCTGTGCACAAACACCGGGGGGCCCCGTCCAGCTGTGAGACCTTGCCTCGGTCCTTGCCTCCTGGTTTTCTTCCTCCTTCTCTGCACAGGTCAAAAGGGCTTGGGTGTCGGCATTCTCTCTGGCTTCAGAGGCAAATCCCAAAGCATGTCTCAGCTTGCTCTTCATCACCCAGGAAAGGAAAATGATCTGAGAAGTGAAGTTAAGGTCCACGGAGGCGGAGAACTTCAGCCACCAGTGCTGCCTTCACCTCTGCACCCTGAGGGCTCCATCCTGGGCTGGTTCCTTACCTCCCCGGGATCATCCTGTCGGGTTGGCCCCAGAACAGACACAGCTCATCTGAGGACAGAGCCAGGTCCAACACTCCCTAGCTGCTGTCCCCCTGAGGGCCCAGTACCCAGCCAGATGCTGCCTCTAACAAGCACTTAATAGATACTTGTTACACAAAAAGATTTTGAAAACTATTTTCCCTGGCTTACAAGGACAGTACACGTAGTGGGTTGAAGAGTGTCCTCCCAAAATTCATATCCACTCGGAACCTCACAATGTGATCTTATTTGGAAACAGGGTCTTTGCTGATATAATTAGTTAAGATGAGGTGGTAGTGGATTAGGGTGGATAAGGTAAGTCCTGTGGCAGGAACCTCACAGGAAGAAGAGGAGTAATGCAGAGATACACAAAGGGAAAAAGGCCAGGTGAAGATGGAGGCAGAAATTAAAATTATGCTGCCAGCTTGCCCAGAGATGGAAACAACTTAAGTGTCCATCATCGGATGAATGGATAAAGAAGATGTGGCACATATATACAATGGAATATTACTCAGCCATAAAAAGAAACGAAATTGAGCTATTTGTAATGAGATGGATAGACCTAGAGTCTGTCATACAGAGTGAAGTAAGTCAGAAAGAGAAAGACAAATACTGTATGCTAACACATATATATGGAATTTAAGAAAAAAAATGTCACGAAGAACCTAGGGGTAAGACAGGAATAAAGACACAGATCTACTAGAGTATGGACTTGAGGATACGGGGAGTGGGAAGGGTGAGCTGTGACAAAGCGAGAGAGAGGCATGGACATATATACACTACCAAACGTAAGGTAGATAGCTAGTGGGAAGCAGCCGCATAGCACAGGGAGATCAGCTCGGTGCTTTGTGACCACCTGGAGGGGTGGGATAGGGAGGGTAGGAGGGAGGGAGATGCAAGAGGGAAGAGATATGGGAACATATGTATATGTATAACTGATTCACTTTGTTATAAAGCAGAAACTAACACACCATTGTAAAGCAATTATACTCCAATAAAGATGTAAAGAAAAATAATAAAGGTGACTCCAATCTAATAAAAAAAAAAAAAAGAGTCATGTACCACAATGTTCATTGCAGCTCTATTTACAATAGCCAGGACATGGAAGCAACCTAAACGTCCATCGACAGATGAATGGATAAAGATGTGGCACATATATACAATGGAATATTACTCAGCCATAAAAAGAAACAAAATTGAGTTATTTGTAGTGAGGTGGATAGACCTAGAGACTGTCATACAGAGTGAAGTAAGTCAGAAAGAGAAAAGCAAATACCATATGCTAACACATATATATGGAATCTAAAAAAAAAAATTGTTCTGACGAACCTAGGGGCAGGACAGGAATAAAGACGCAGATGTAGAGAATGGACTTGAGGACACGGGGAGGGGGAAGGGTAAGCTGGGATGAAGTGAGAGAGTGGCATGGACATATATACACTACCAAATGTAAAATAGATAGCTAGTGGGAAGCAGCCACATAGCACAGGGAGATCAGCTCGTGCTTTGTGACCACCTAGAGGGGTGGGATAGGGAGGGTGGGAGGGAGACGCAAGAGGGAAGGGGTATGGGGATATATGTATATGTATAGCTGATTCACTTTTTTATAAGGCAGAAACTAACACACCATTGTAAAGCAATTATACTCTAATAAAGATGTTAAAAAATAAAAAAAATATTATGCTGCCAGAAGCCAGGGAACCCCAGGAGCCACCAGAAGCTGGAACAGTCAGGGAAAGACTCTCCCCTACAACCTCTGGAGAGAGAGTGACTCCACCTGGATTTCGGACTTCTGGCTCCTAAAGCTGAGAAAATAAATTCCTGTGGTTTAAGCCATCACGTTTGTGGTTATGTGTTACGGCAGCCCTCGCAGACTCAAATAGTATGTGAGAAAATCCATTTCTAAACTATTTATGCTAAATCCGCAGGTTTTCCACCCCTCCCCCAACCCCACCCAGCATCTCCACTCGCCACTGTCTGAGCTTAGCTTGCCCTTGAGGCCCTCACACCAAGGTCACTGGGGTGTCAGCACATCAGGCAACACCTGCTTGGGGATCAGAAACGGGCTCAGCGATCACTGACAGCTTTTCTCTCTGCTTCCCCACCCCAGGCTCCAGCACCGAAGAGGACAGAAAGCAGATGATCACCCGTGTAGGGCAGGTCAGCTTGCAAAGCCCTTCGCAGCCTGTGAGAAGACAAGGCAAAGGTGAGGAAAACAGGTTCACAGAGGACAGGGACCAATCCAGGTGGGGAGCAGCACCGAGACAGGAGCCTGGCTCTTCTGTGATCCCAAGGCCAGGAAGCTTCATACTCCCCTCTGCTGTTTCACAAAGCTCCAGTCAAGAGATATTTCTTCTTATTAAAAAAAAATAAAAAGGAGGAGGGACTTCCCTGGTGGCGCAGTGGGTAAGACTTTGCACTCCCAATGCAGGGCGCCCAGGTTCGATCCCTTGTCAGGGAACTAGATCCCACACGCATGCCGCAACTAAGAAGCCAGCGAGCTGCAACTAAGGAGCCAGCCTGCCACAACTAAGACCCGGTGCAACCAAATAAATGAATAAATAAATAACATTTTAAAAGGACACAAAGCACAAAACTGCACATTGCAATTGTGTCTGCCTCCCCCAGGATTCAAACCACCACCCTGGCTACTGGGAAAGAATTCTTTCTAGCAAGAGGGTAGGAGGGCAGATGAGGCACAGCAGCCAAGCCCCCGGGCCTGGAGTGGATACGGCGAGGTCCAGCGCTGCACGGCCGAGGGAGGTCAGGAACCAGGGTGTGGCCCGTAGCAGGTATTCAGGCCGCCGGTCATGGGCCACGATGGCCGAGGCGTAGAGGAGGCCAGCCAGGGCCGACAGGAGCCGGGTCCACAGGTAGATGGAGGGAAATGTCCTACCCCAGCACTGGGCAGAGAGAGAAGGGGGCTGGGCTGGGAGGAACACTGCCACCTCCCTCAGCTCCCTTAAAGCTGATTCTAAGACCCAGGCCCCTGGTGATATAAGAGGTTGGAGGGCAAGCCCTCTGCCCATGGCCAGTCCCCAGAGGTGCCACTTCTGTTGGGCTTCAAGCTGCTTCCAGGAATTCCCTGGCAGTCCAGTGGTTAGGGCTCCTCGCTTCCACTGCAGAGGGCATGGGTTCGATCCCTGGTTGGCGAACTAAGATCCTGCAAGCCGCGCGGCGTGGCCAAAAAAAAACAAAGCTGTTTTCTTTGTCTGGTGAACTCCTATTCATCCCTCAGAACCTGGCTTAAACCCAACTCTGGGAAACCATCCCTTAACACCTCCACCCTAAGGGGAGCAAGTTATTTCCTCTTCAGGGTCCCTCACACCTCTGACATATCCCTCTATTGGAGTGCCTTTCACCCTGATCATGACTTAGCTCCTTACACATCTGTCTGTCCAACAGACAGAGGGCTCCTGAGAGCAGGGCTGAGGTCCTCACCATCTCGGTGCCCTGGAACCCAGCACTGGGCAGGGGCTCGTGAATGTCAGTGGGGAGAGCAGGACGGAGACTGAATTATGGAGAACCAAGGGCCCACTCTTCTCGTCTCGGGGCCACCAACTCTGAACCAGGCGGGACGGGAAAGTCAGGAAAATTAGAGATAACATTCTGGAAATTTTGAAGCCAAGGGGATATTTCTGGAGAATGAGCAATGGAAATACTGGTTTTTAAAAAAGGAAACATGCAATATTTATATGTAAGTATCCTTTACAGGTATAACGTCACTTTATATACACATTAAGTATATATACAAATATTATGTATTTCCAATTATATACAATTACATAGGTATTTAAATTAATACATAAATATAAATTATATTATATATATATGTATATATATATAACTTAGTTTGCTCATTAGATGACTGTACTTAGAGACATACAGACCTTGGTTAAGGAACGGAAAATATTCAAGAGAAAAAGCATGTTTTAGCCGATTTTCTCCATTTTAATTTAACCCTCAAAAAGATTCCTGGGACTTGCCTGGTGGCGCAGTGGATAAGAATCTGCCTGCCAGTGCAGGGGACATGGGTTTGAGCCCTGGTCTGGGAAGATCCCACATGCCACGGAGCAACTAAGCCCGTGTGCCACAGCTACTGAGCCTGCACTCTAGAGCCCACGAGCCACAACTACTGAGCCCACGTGCCACAACTACTGAAGCCCACGCACCTAGAGCCCGTGCTCCGCCACCACAATGAGAAGCCCGCGCACTGCAACGAAGAGTAGCCCCTGCTCGACGCAACTAGAGAAAGTCCGCGCGCAGCAACAAAGACCCAACACAGCCAAAAATAAATAAATAAAATAAAATAAAATAAAAAAAGATTCCTGGGAATTCCCCGGCGGTCCAGTGGTTGGGTCTCCACGCTTTCACTGCCAAGGGCTTGGGTTCAATCCCTGGTTGGGGAACTAGGATCCCACAAGCCACACAGCACGGCCAAGGAAAGGGGAAGAAAAAGAAATAGATTCCTCAGAAGTGTTACATCTACCTCTGCATCTCTTCCGGTTTTGTTCCCAGGCCTCCCTGTTTCTGGCCTGTCACCCCCTGAGCAGACGGCACACAGCCGGGGATGGTGGCCCCTGGCCCACTGGCCCCAGAGGTTGCGGGTGGAGTGTCACCCCTTCCCATCAGCCCGTCCCACCTCACACGGCCCAGCAGCACTGCTATGGCGGGAAGACTTTGGGGTCCTCCAGCCCACCCACCCCCATTTTACAGAGGACATTGATGGGCAAAGGGGAAGGTGACTTGCAGAGCCGGGCTAGGCCCTGAGCTGGATGAGGCCAAGCTGGGGGAGCCCTCTGCTCTCACTCCCGTGCCAACCCACGCCCAGCGCCCACTGACTCAGAACTCAAGCTCTTCTCAGGGTCGGTACTAGGGTCTAGAGGGCTCCGCCTGCGGCGCTGAACACACAGCTGTGCTTCAAGCATCACTGCTTGAAGACTGGAACTGGCTTGGTGACTCGAGATGTGGTATGAATTTCTCCAGCACACACAGGCCTGTCTAGCAGGTCAGGACAGACGGCTGGGAGGACGACCTGCCTGGTGGCTTCCCGGCAAATCCGCGCTGGGGACTGGAAGTGGGCTGTGCCTCAGACACTCTTACAGCAGCAATGATTCCCGGTGTTGTCAGCACAATGCTTTACTGATCAGTGCGTGTTTCGCACCCTTTGTCCTCAAGGACTTGCTCCTGGAAAAATGGGAACTTTTCCCACCAAAGCCACCCAGCCAGGCTGCTCCTCAGCGCCCCCTGCAGGGGTAAATTAGAAGCAGCTTCTGGGGGATCCAGGGTCCAAGTCCGGGCTGGCTTGGCTTCCCATAGCACTGCAACCCTGCTGGCTTTCTCCCTAACAAGGGAACCCTAGCTCTGGGTTATTCATGGGACCAGAGACACTCAGGGCTGGCAGCCCCTCCGAGATTGCCCAGCTCAGTCCCCTTGCAATCTCCATCTTCTTGCCAAGGGACCATCAGGTTTGAATGCCTCTAGTGATGAGAAGCCCACTACCTCCTAAAGCAGGAATAACAACACCAGCTGTTCTCAACATGCCAGGCACTGGGGAAAGTGTCTAACCCATGGAATTCTTCCTTTAACCGAATGGGAAGCGGCCCTCCCAGTAACCTCTTGGTTATTGATTCTGGTCTTGGTCCTGTTCTCCAAGACTGCAAAGAACAAGGCTGCTCTTTCTGCCCCAGGATAGCCCTCTGTTTCCTGTATCCGTGAGCTTCCTTTTCTCTAGGCCAAATGCAGTGACTCATTAAGAAGTGTCTGTTGGAAGCTACCCTGGGCAGACCCCAAGCACCTGGAACACAGTGAGAAATGAAACAGACAAGGGCACTGCCCTCACACTGCTGATGCTCTGCTGGGGGACCAGGCAGCAACCTGGTAAGTAACTAAAGGAGCTCATTCAGGCTGTGATAAATGCGAGGAAGAAAATTAAGCAGAGGGAGGGACACAGCGGTGGGGCTGGCCTGGGGCTATTTTAGGTGGGATGGTGTTATGGGTTGAATGGTGTCCCCCCCAAAAAGATGTTGGAGTCCCAGCCGGCAGAGGTAGTGAATGTGGCCTCATCTGGAAAGAGAGTTTTTGCAGATGATCAAGGTAAGCTGAGGTCATTACGGTGGGCTCGAATCCAAGAGGACTGTGTCCTTGTGAAAAGAGGAAAGTCAGACACAGAAACGTACGGAGGGAAGCCATGCGACCACACACACACACACACACACACACACAGGGAGAACTCCACACAAATCCTGGGGTTGTGCTGCCACCAGCCAAGGGACTACCAGAAGCTTAGAGAAAGGCCTGGAACGGATCCCTCTCTAGGGCCTTCAGAAAGAGTGTGGCCCTGCTGACACTTTGGTGTCGGATCTCTGGCCTCCAGGACTTAAAGACAGTATGTTTCTGTTGTTCAGAGTCTGGGATACTTTGTCATGGCAGCAGCAGGAAACTAATACAGGTGGTCAGGGCACTGCAACTGTTCCTTCAAAGGCCCGCATGTGACACGGCTTCCCAGCCCTGACCACACCCTGGAGGCCCATCCCAGCAGTGGTTGAACTGCGCACAGTGTTCCCCACGCTCCTCTCCCTTGCCCTGGAGACAGCATCTTTGCTGATGAGGCCCTGTGCCCCGGGAGGTTTCAGGCTGCAGCTCCCACGAGCGGTCAACTAAGCACCGCCTCCTCAAATCCTGTTCTCCTGGGATTGCTGTTAAACCACAGTGCTCTTGGGCAAGACTAAATGATGGGCCGTCACATTTCTGGCGTCAGGCCCCGCCAGTTTCACGCGTCCATAATATGGGGCTCTTCGGCAGGCGCTCTCCTGCCTCGGTGGCCTTTCCCGCAGGCGCTCTCCTGCCTCGGTGGCCTTTCCCGCAGGCGCTCTCCTGCCTCGGTGGCCTTTCCCGCACACTCTGCTCTGCCCTGAGTGCCTTCCCTTCGCCTCTGCCTCCTTAGACCCCCACCTGGCCTTCGCTGCCAACCTGGGGCCACGCCAGCACCCAGTGCCTGGCAGTGTGAACAGTTTTCACCCTCGCTCATTTGAATAATGCAGGAGGCTTCTCTCTTTCTTCCAGAACCCCAAACATTTGATTCTTTCTTAGAGCATTCAAACATCCTGCTTTCCATTTCTGTGTCTTCCTTGGGGAGACTGTGAGCTCCCCAAGGGCAAGCAGGGCATCTCAAGGCACGTCTGTTCCCCCAAGGGACTGGCCATCACATGACTTCCCTAATCCCAGATGCCTGAAAAATACTGCCAACAAGACACTCTCGAATACACAGACCCCAGGAGCTGCATGACCCTGTTCTCTAAAAGCTCAGATCTTCTTGCTCCTTAATGGGGTGCTTATCCATCCAAACTCAGGGGCTCCTTCTGCAGAGCCTGATTTTCATTTGCTACGAGAAATGGAGAGAACACAGTGCCCTCTCCCTGTGAGTCTCAGGACCCTCCAAGGCCTGGGGGCGGCTGTTCGCTGCCCACACACATGTGTATACACGCACACACACCCACGTACACACCCACACGCGCACATGTGAACGGAGACACCACCTCTCCACCCCGGTGACCTGGAGCTGGGAGGATGCTCCCAGATGCCCTAAGACCTGCCAGGGTGACCCACAGTCCCGGCCCCAGACTCACGATTCTGGAGAGTGGGGGGATCCGGGAAGCCCAGGCGCCCAAGGTTGCGATGCCACCCAGCAGGTAGCCAAGGATTTCAGTATTGTCCTGCGGGAACAGTGATACACTCAGCACCCTGAGGATATGCCCATGCACCCCAGGCCCGTCCTTTTCTGCTTTTAGGAGGTTCTTCCCAACAAGGCCTAACCCTGCCGCCCACCCCCAGGGCATTTGTTGGAACTAGGAGAAGGGGAGGGGCCCGCATTGCCCCCCCCCTCGCCCCCCGCCGTCAGGTCCCCCTGAGCAGGCTCGACCTCACCTGTACTAGGCTTCCCAGCAGCCTCCGCTGCGGCCCTCGGATGGGGCCTGAAGCCTTCGGGACAGCGGCCCACAGAGCCCAGCCTGGGCCCAGGCTCAGCGGCAGGACCAGGGCAAATATGCTGGCCCTGAGTTGCCGCCTCCTCTTTCTCTCCCGGGAGCCCCGACCTGCAACAGACACCAAGGTCCCACAGGGCTCCCAGGATCTGGAACTCGACAGACAGCTGCGTGGGAAGAACTGGTGTCGACCCCAGACCCGAGGCCAGGATGGGCTCCCTCACTGTTCCACAGGTCAGCCCCTCACCCCCCTTCAAGGGCCTGTGGTTGGGTCTTCCCCCCTTCCCCTTATCCCCCCACCCTCCCATGACTGGCACTCTTCCCCTTCCTCAGCCTCTCATAGTGTTTTATGTTTCAAGGCAGGGCAACGTGATCCTTTTTCATATGCATCTGCACGCACACAGAGTCGCCCGTCCTCGACTGGAGACCACTGAAGGCAGGCACTGTGCCCGGTCAGTTCTAGAATCTGCACAGAGCCCGGCACAGAGTGGAACCGGCACAAGCTTGGTGAATGTATTATAAGTGGGCACACTGGTGCCAAGGCACCAAAGCTGTGAGTAGAATAAGCATCGTCTTTGAAAGTCTCCTTGAAATAGAAGACAGATCCGCCTCTGAACAATTCCAAAAAGAACATTCCTCCTCTGGGCAGCCTCGAGCAGCTGAGAGCACCTTACATCACCCCTGATGCAAACATTTCCCTTTGGGACAAGGGTCCGAGTACACTGCTGCCCCTTCTCAGGAAAGTCCCAGTCCCACATACTTAAGGCTACTCATCCCATCTCAGTCACTTCCAGCGCCCGCTCGGCCTGAGGCAGCCCAGGTGGTTCGCTTGGAGCCCCTGGACTTGCACACTGAGTATCACTGTCCATCCCCAAAGCCCCGCCCCCTCCCCTTCCTGACCTCTGCCCATGCTGCCCTTTCACCTGGAATGCCCTTCCTTGCGGTCCCAGTTCCGACGTCACATCCTTCTCTGACACCTGCAGCCCCTCCCCTCCTCTGGTTGCCCATTGTGAGCCCACACCCCCTTACTAGCAGCGCTAACTAACTTTTAGGCCCCTGACTCCCCGCTCTGGGTGAAACCAGGGAGCTCGCCCATTCATCTGTGCTTGGCAGGGTCCAGGCTCGGGTGTGACAGGGAGAGGCACTCAGCACACTGATGGATGAAATGAGTGGATGGGTGAAGACAGGAACAGATGGCAGCACACTTACCTGAACTGGACTTGACTTTGGAGCTGCAGACTGGGAAGAGAATGGACACAAAGCTCACCAGGTCAACAGCTGCTAGGTAGACACCAGTGAAGACCTGGGAGCAAAGGAAAGAGGGTCTTGGTGTTCAAACACCTTTCAGCAACTGTAGCACCGCTCATTCTGGCTCTCCTCTACCACGTGTGTTCCACTGATGTAGGGCTTCCAGGGACACCTCCAACCCCAGGAAAGGTTGGTTATCACCTCCATTTGACTAACGAGGAGATGGGGTGCTTAAGTAACCAATCCCATTATGCAGATGCCCATCAGAGAGATGGGATAAGAACTCAGCCCGCCCCACTTTCCACTGGACAGCATGGTCTCTGCTGTGCAACTTTGGTCCAGCCACTGAACTTCCCTGGGCCTCGGTTTCCTCATCTAGAAAGCAGGGATAATAACAGTGCCTCCCTCCTTGTTAAGGAGATTGTATGGGCCGATACATGGGAAGTTGCTTAGGCCAGCGACTGACGAAAGTAAAATGCACCCACCCATACATGCTCTAGCTACTGACAGTACAGTTGGCACTTGAACAACTCAGGGGTTGGGGCACCGACTCCTCTGCAGTGGAAATTCCAAGTATAACTTTACAGTCAGCCCTTTGTATCCGAGCTTCTGCATCCATGGTTCAACCAACTGTGGATCCTGTAGTGCCGTAGTGTGTATTTATTGAAAAAAAATCCATGTATATGTGGACACACACAGTTCAAAGCCATGTTGTTCAAGGGGCCACTGTACTTAGTGCTCAAGAGCATGCGATCTGGGGTTTGAATCCTGACTCTGTACTTACGAGAGGGTGACTTTAGCAAGGTTATTTAACCTCGCTATGCCTCAGTTTCCACATGTATAAAACAGGGATAATGAGAGCACCCACGTCATAGGTCGATTTGAGGATTAAATGAGTTAATACATGAAAAGCCCTTCATGTCAAGTACATAGTTAAGTATTTAATAAATATCAGCTATTATTATTGGACTTGAGCTAGGCCTCATTATAGTCTATCAGCTAATGACAACGGGCTCCCAGAAGGAAAGGTGATTTGTTTCTGATAGAACGCTGCTCACAGCAGGGTCTAGAACTCTCCAAATCTGTGTCCAACCACTAGGCTCCCCTCCTTCACATCTACCTGGATGGCAAAAGGCCAGGACCAGTCCCCTGAAGTGGGACCCATAGGTCCTCCTTGGGATATGTGTTTTGGGATAAGCCTCTTCTACACAGATTTGTTTGAGGGTCTAGACTTTGGAAAAACTTGAAACTGCTTCTCAGTTGCTCCAAAGCCCACATCACCACCTGGGAAAGGATTCAGACACCCCTGCCTGAGCTGCGGCTGGGCCCTGGGCTCTAAAACCAGTAACAGCAACAATCCCTTTTTACTGGATATCTACTATGCGTCAGCTGGTGTTTTAAGTGATGGGGATATGGTAGCGAATAAAAATTTTTGCCCTTATGGAGCTGACATTCTAGTAGGGGTTAACATACAATAAGCCATAAACATAATGAATAAGTGAAGTCGATGGTATATTAGGGAAAACTAGAGCAAGATGAGGTTGTCTGGAGCACCTGTGGTAGAGGCAGGGCACACTTTTAAACGGGTGATCAGGGAGGCCTTATTGAGAAGGAGATATCTGAGCAAAGACTTAAAGGAGGTGAGCAGTGAGCCACGTGGGTATTGGAGGAGCAGGAAGGCCAGCAGGGGCACAAGCCCTGAGGTGAAACTGCCTCGCATGGGGAAGGAACGAGACAGAAACCACTGTCACCTGTAGGCCCAACACACCTGGATGGTGAGCTGTTTGGCCAGAATCGCCCCGATGGTGTCACACAGGCTGGTCAGGAGGCAGCAGGCAGCACACAGCGCCGACTGGTCCCGTCCGGATTTCTTCCCACATCTCAGATAGAGAAGCCTGCGGGGACAGACAGGCGTGTGGGCAGAACACAGAGACGTGAGTTTGGGTTCCAAAAGCAGGTGTCTGAAAAGGGCAATTGTGACTTTAGGTCCCTCAGAATCACTTTCTTCCCGATATTCAGCAGGTGGTTTTGACCTTAGTTTACAGGTGGTTAAAGAAAGGATGGAAAACCTCCGAGCCTCTGACCAACAAGCCCATGGCCGGAGGCAGACCTCGTGAAAGGATGAAAGAAATTCCTCCTACAAATCTGGCTGCCTCAAGTTCGTGACCCACCACTCAGTGCTGACAAATGAGCTGTCAGCTGTTATGTTTTGAAAGGCAACAGGAGGGTTATAAAAGTAACCCAATCATCGCAGTTTAACTGCAGAGCAGAGTTAATTGCCTGGATTAAAAAGGCAACTCGCTTCTTTGAAATTAAAATGCAATCCTTCTAATCCATCTGTGCAGTGAAATGGCCTGGCTTCTGCCAGCTGCATCCAAACTGATTTCATTTTGGGCGCATGTTCCTCACACACCGGGGGAGACTCCGCTAAGCTGTGATGGCACTCTGGGCTGACCTCCCCCTAGGGGCCCCACTGCTGGCTTCTCTCCCTTACTGCCCGCTTTCCACCCCCAGGAACAAGCGCAGGAAGGCAGGACAGACTGGAAGGGGCCAGATGTCTCTCTGTCAGCATCATTGATCGGAGCTTGGAAATACTTTATCCTAGATGTTTCCCTGCTCCATTTCTATGGAGAAACTGAGGCACGATTGCAGCTCTGGTTTCACTTCATTTAACCACAGGGTGGTACTCACTCTACATCATTAGGACCATATGGCTGGTTCTGGGCTCAGCCCTTGGGACTAATGAATGAGGACAGAAGGCCATTGGGCTCCCAAACATTCTCCGACCAGCCAGCCGAAGCCCAAAGCTCACAGTAGGAATACCAACTGTTAATTTGGGTCCTGAAACTGTTTCAAGGCCCAGGAGTGAAAATTCCTACATTAGAGGCTCTCTGAGTTGGACCCAAATTAGAAATAATTCATTTAGGGCTTCCCTGGTGGCGCAGTGGTTAAGAATCCGCCTGCCAATGCAGGGGACACGGGCTCGAGCCCTGGTCCGGGAAGTTCCCACATGCCGCGGAGCCACTAAGCCCGTGCGCCACAACTACTGAGCCAGCGCTCTAGAGCCCGCGAGTCACAACTCCTGAGCCCGTGTGCCACAACTACTGAGGCCTGCGCGCCTGGAGTCCGTACTCTGCAACAAGAGAAGCCACCGCCATGAGAAGCCCGCGCACCACAACAACGAAGAGTAGCCCCCGCTCGCCACAACCAGAGAAAGCCCGTGCGTGGCAACCAAGACCCAACACAGCCAAGAAAATAAAATAAATAAATAGATTTAAAAAAAGAAATAATTCATTTCAACCCTCCCATTTGAGAAAGGAGAACACTGAGGCCTGTGGTGAAAGGTGAGTTCACGGCAGGCCTCTGCTTCACGTGTGGCGGCTCTGCGTGTGCCCTGCGGCTCTCCGGCCACTTCCCCAGCCCTTAGGGGTCAGGGATCCCGGGCTGACTCTGACCCAGTCCCCACACAGCTGAGGCAAGGCGAAAAGGCAGCGGCTGTGCTCTCAGCCTGGCCACTGGGCATTCTCGAGGGAGCTCCTTAACCTCTCCAAGCCTCAGTTCCTGGAGGGTAAGACGTCTAATAATACTGGCTTTAGAGTGTGGCGGTGAGGGACAAGCGAGATAATGCACATAAAGTGCCTTGTTAGTTCCCATCCTCTGATCTGGGTAGTTTACCTCACAAGCCTGCCCCTTTCTAGCAGGTTCTGGGATTTCGGTTCTCCCCATTTACTCAGGCAAGTTAGTTAACCTCTCAGCAGCTCAGGCTTCTCATCTAAGCGGGGTCAATGACAGTCCCTACCCCATGGGGCTGTGGCAGGGATCAGTGAGTTAACGCAGCACTAGGCCCTCAGTAACTGTTCTAAGTGTCTTCTTATTCATATTCCAGGGACTGGGCAGTGGAGCTGCAGAATCTCTCCACCAGCGTCAAATGCCTGAGGGGAACGGGATTGCCTGTCAAAGGAGAGCCGGTGTCAGCCTCCCTCAGGGGTGGTCCTTCTCCCCTGCCAGGGAATACGTGGGTGGCACCATCCTCCAGAGCTTGGGACAGGGTGGCAGAAGATCTGGAGACCATCTTTAGCCAGACTTCACCCTTAGAACCCAGGTTATGGGGACCACTTGGCCAAAACACTCCAGGTGTCGGACAGACCAGGGCAAAGTCTGTGGCCAGAGTCGGATACTAGCCTCCCCTCTTCTCAGCTAAGAGGGCCAGTAAATTGAGGCCAGAAACATTGAGGGACTTGTCCAAGGCCCTTGCCCTCCGCCAAGGGTTGATGGCAGTGTTGGAGCAATAATAATGCTGTTTAATGAGCATTTAGTAAGAGCTTTACCAGTACTATTTGATCCTCCCAGCCGTCCTATGTGCTATCATCCCCATTTACGTGAGTAAAACGGGCCCCAGGGATCTTATAGCTCGCCCAGCTCACACGGCCAGTAAACGGGGAAAGGCTGACACTAGAACCCAGGACTGGCTGCTTCCAGTCCACGGCCCCGTCCACTGCACCACTCAGCCTCCTCCTGCTGGCTCCCAGCCCAGTCTCCTGTGCGTGGAATCCGGAAAGAAGTATCTGATTTCAGTCTACAGCAAAATGTTCCTCTCGATCCTGCAATTGTGCTGCCTCCTGCATCCTCCCTTTCTGCCCCCTTCCCTCTAGGTTTCCAAGCGCGAGTTGGCAGGGGGCAGCGCCCCATTTCCCCCCGCTGCCGCCCCGGTCCCCGCCCTGGCGCCGCCCGGCCCCAGTCCCCATTACAGCGCGTGGACGGCGATCCAGCAGGAGAAGGCGCAGATCCACAGGCCGAAGGAGATGCAGACACGGTGGCGGGCGAAGCAGTGGTCCAGGTAGTCCCAGTCCCAGAGCGCGGGCGCGGGGCTGGGCGCCTCCCCCATGGCTGTCTCGGCTCCGCCTGGCCCGGTGCCCGCGCCTCCGCCTGGCCGGGGACCCGCGCGCAGCCTCCCCCCGCTGCCCGCCGCACCGGGCGCTGCCTCCCCGCGCGTCTCCTTCTCCGGTTCTGTTCCTTCGCGGCGGCCCCAGCCGAGCGCGCCGACCGCAGGCCGGAGATGGGCGCGCCCAGATCCGCGCTTCAGGGGGCGGGCGGCGGCGGTCAAGACTCGAGGGAAAAGTTTCCGGGAACGCGCGCCTCCCCACCCCTCGCGCTATTGTCGGGGGTCGGCGGGCGGGAGGCCGCCCCCCAGTGGCGGAAGCCGGGAGCAGCCTCTGCACAAAGGCTGCGCCCCACGCCCCCCAGACAGCGGCAGCACGGCTCCCGCGGACCCCTTTGCTGCCACGCACCCCCAAACCCGGCGGCCAGAGCAGAATACAGTGACCTGCCGGCGCACTGTGAGGCACCTCGTCCGTTCATTAACCCACCATGTTTCCTGAGTCAAACAATACATACTTGGCGCCTGGGGAGCTTGCTTGGGCGCTGGGGATCCCGCGATGAGTGGGGCTTGGTCCAGATCGTTAAAATGGCACAATACAAAGGGTGCTGTGGGAGGCCAAGAAGGAGGGATCAAACGCGCCCCTCTGCATCCTCCCTCACTCTTTTCTGAGGCTGGAGCTGCACCCTGTGTCCCTGTTCCGTTGCCCAAGCGGGGCTCTGGAGGCGAAGTCCTCTTACCCCGCGACCCCCGCAGCCAGGGAGCCCCGTGATTTTTGCAATCTGTCCCCTCCCATCCAGCCACACTGCCGTCAGTTCAAGTACACAGGGCTATTGTTCTTGAAAACAAACTATTATTATGATTTAAAATTTTCATTGTTGATTTTAATAACTTTTCTTAAAGGACATGACTATATCATTTCTTTTTTTTATTTTTAAAAATAGCTTTACTGAGATCCCATTCATATATCATAAAATTCACCCATTTAAAGTGTACAATTCAGTGGTTTTTAATATATCCACAGAGCTGTGCAACCACCACCGTTATCTAATTTTAGAACATTTTCATTACCTGCCAAAAAACCTAGTGCCTACTAGCAGTTACTCTCCACCCCTCTCAAGCACTCCCAGCCCTAGGCAACCACACATCTACCTCTGTCTCTATGGAGCTGCCTATGCTTGACATTCCTTATAAATGGAATCATCCAATAGTGACCTTTTTGTGACTGACTTAGCATAATGTTTTTAAGCATCATCCATGTTGTAGCATGTATCCGTATGTTATTTCTTTTTATGGCTGAAAAATAATCCATCGTATGGTTGTACCAGATTTATTTATCTTTTCATCAGTTGATGGACATTTGGGTTGTTTCCACTTTTTGGCTGTTATGAATAATGCGCTGTGAACATTTGTCTACAAGTTTTTTTGTGGACATAGGTTTTCAGTCCTCTTGGTCACATACCTAGGAGTAGAATTGCTGGGTCCCATGGTAACTCTGTGTTTCAAGTTTCAAGGAACTACTGGACTGTTTTCCAAAGTGGCTACACTATTTTATTGGTTCATTCATTTTAAAAAAGTTAAGACCACACACGGGAGAAATAAAACACTATCTGTCAGGCATTGTGCTAGGAGTGGGGGACACATTGTTGAGAAAAACAGATGTTTTTCTACCTCAGTGGAATTTACAGTCCAGTAGAAAAGAGAGAGATATTAAACAGGCAATCGAGCAAATAAAGATAAAATTAAAATATGTTATTAAGCAAAAGGGGCCAAAATTCAAATAGTAACATGATTAAGATGAATTGATATAAAATTCATGCCAACTAAGACAAGATTAAAGGGTTAAATTAAAAATATATGTAACCCAAGTTTCTCATAGTGTATAAACAAAAAATGCTCCTAGTCTGAAACCTCTGCCTTCTGATTCTTTTTTTTTTTCTTCTTCATCTTTTTTTTTCTTCTTTGTTTTTGCCTTCTTGTTCTTTTTGGGCTCTTCCGGTGTTTGTTCTCTGTGCTTACAAATGGTCATCTCTACCTTGCTCTCCTGTGGGTGCTGACCAGTGACTGTCTAGATCCTGGGTTCCTCTAGTGATGCTGTCTACTTACTGCTCCCAAAGGCAGATCTATCCAAAGATAATCTATTCCACTAATTATCTCACTGAAGTGAGGACACAGCCCACAGTTTTGTGTCACTCTCTCACCAGGCCCTAAGGTTGCCTTATGCTCAGTTTTGTTTTGATTTGAAGATACCACTATTTAATTTGATTCAATCTTTGTTACGGTTTCCTTCTCTCTCAGGCTCAGCATAGACCCTGGGGAGGTGGGCCTAATTTAAAAGTTGCGGGGACTTCCCTGGCTGTCCAGTGGTTAAGGCCCCGTGCTTCCAATGCTGGGGGCACGGGTTCAATCCCTGGTCGGGGAACTGAGATCCCACAAGCTGCATGGTGCGGCCAAAAAATAAAAATAAAAAATAAAAGTTGCTTCAGGGAATTCCCTGGTGGTCCAGTGGTTAGAACTCGGCGCCTTCACTGCCGTGGCCCCGGTTCGATCCCTGGTCGGGGAACTAAGAACCCTGCTTGGCCAATCCTCCTCACCCACCTTGGACCAGGTTTACACACATTAACATCTTTTTCTTAAATTAGTAGTTAATTCTCCACCTTTTCTGTGACTCCTCTGAGAATCTGAAGAAAACCTCATCCCTGAAAAATACGAACTTGTGTGCACACCCACACACAGTTTCTCGTATAATCTTAAGGAATTTATGGAACGCCTGAAATTCACTATGGATTCCATAGCAGAATAGACCCAGACTAAAAATCCCTAGTTTAAGGGTTTAAGTCCTACAGGTACCCTGCCTGAGCAGTTGAGGCAGTGTGGCCCACAGACTGTCGGTATCAGAATCACTCTGGCTGCCTGTCAAAAAGCAGACCTACTAACTGCAACTCCCTGGGCATGTGTCCTTGGAATCTGCATGGATTAGTTTCCTGGAGTTGCTGAAACAAATCACCACAAATGCAGTGGTTTAAAGAAACAAAAATGTATTCTCTCAGTTCTGGAGGCCAAAAGTCTGAAATCAGTTTTCACTGGACCAAAATCAAGGTGTTGGCTGGGCTGCCTCTCCATGGCAGCTCTGGGGGAGAAGCTGTTTCTTGTCCTGCCTCTTCCAGCTTCTGGTGGTTGCCAGTGTTCCTTGCCTTATGGTTGCATTCCTCTGATCAGTCTCTGCCTCCTGCCTCCATGGCTATATTGCCTTCTCCTCTTCTGTGTGTTAAATCTCCCTCTGCCTTTCTCTTATAAAGACACTGTGATTGCATTTGTGGCCTACTCAGGTAATCCACGATAATCTTCTTGTCTCAAGTTCTTTAACTTAATCACGTCTGCAAAGACCCATTTTCCACATAAGGTAACATTTACAGGTTCCAAGGATTAGGACTTGAAATCTTTGGGGACCATTATTTAGTCAACTACACTGCTTTGCACAAGCTTCTTAGGAGATTCTTTTTTTTTTTTAAATTTATTTATTTTTGGCTGCATTGGGTCTTCATTGCTGCATGCAGGCTTTCTCTAGTTGTGGCGAGCGGCGGCTACTCTTCGTTGCAGCGTGCGGGCTTCTTATTGCGGTGGCTTCTCTTGTTGCGGAGCACAGGCTCTAGGTGCACGGGCTTCAGTAGTTGTGGCATGCAGGCTCAGGAGTTGTGGCTCGCGGGCTCTAGGGCGTAGGCTCAGTGGTTGTGGTGCACGGGCTTAGTTGCTCCACGGCATGTGGGATCTTCCCGGACCAGGGCTCGAACCCATGTCCCCTACATTAGCAGGCAGATTCTTAACCACTGTGCCACCACGGAAGTCTCTTCTTAGGAGATTCTTATGAGACACACTAGGTTATGAGATGGCCCTCAGTGGAGCTGGAGAAGCTGCGGGGAGCTGTTCCCAGTCTCTGGATATCTTGGCTCATTGGATGATGCAGTGGGAAGACGTGGGCTTTGGAGAATCTTGACTGGAATTCTCACTCTGCGTCCTTGCAGGTGTGATTGGGGTGAAGCACTGATTCTCTCTGCACAGGAGTATTTTTACCTGTAAACTGAGAATAGGAGTACCTATCATAGAGTTACTGTGATTATTAGACATTCTGCAGATAAAGCATCTGGCACATGTCAACAGTGGCAATTATTATTGTTATTGTCCTTCCTAGGAAGAACCTCAGATCCACTAAAAAAAAGAGGTATAGGGCTTCCCTTGTGGCTCAGTGGTTGAGAGTCCGCCTGCCAATGCAGGGGACACGGGTTCGTGCCCCGGTCCAGGAAGATCCCACATGCTGCGGAGCGGCTGGACCCGTGAGCCATGGCTGCTGAGCCTGCGCGTCTGGAGCCTGTGCTCTGCAACGGGAGAGGCCACAACAGTGAGAGGCCCGCGTACTGCCAAAAAAAAAAAAAAAAAAGAGGTATAAAGAATATGTGAAAAGGAAGATCAACAATGGAGGGAGACACAGAGCTCAGTTCTTAGCTCTCTTCCCTTCCCCACCACGTTCCAGGAGCATCTGTCTTCTGCGCTTGTGCATCCCAAGTGAGTTATCTGCAGCTCAGAACTCCCAAACTTTAGACTCACATATGCAACTGCCTATGCGTGACATGTCTTGCATGTCTTAATTGAGCGCATCTAAAACCAAACTGGGTGGTTTTCCTTCCCAAAGCTGCTCCACCGGTGGTCTTCCCTACAAAGGTGATTGGGCGTCCTGGTCCTGAGGGGGGAGGTGCCTGCTCTCCTCCTCTGTTAGGGTGCCTCTCAAGCACGATGAGTGTTGTCCTTCTACCAGGCTGTGAGCACCTTGCAGCTGGGGTTGGTTAGTTCCTACCTGTCTCCCCAGCTCAGTGCCTGGAATATAGTTAGAAAAATATTTACGGAATGAAAATATTGATTTTTAAACAGGCCAGAGAAATGTGATATGTACTTAAGAACATATTGAAAATGCTTTGGGTAGTATAGTCACTTTCACAATGTTGATTCTTCCAATCCAAAATGGTTCTAATGAACCTAGGGGCAGGACAGGAATAAAGACACAGATGTAGAGAATGGACTTGAGGACACGGGGAGAGAGAAGGGTAAGCTGGGCTGAAGTGAGAGAGTGGCATGGACATATATACTCTACCAAATGTAAAATAGATAGCTAGTGGGAAGCAGCC